AAATACAGATGCAGGCATGCAAGCAAAATTAATTGTGCCTTAGTAATACATTTGCCTTGCCACATTTCATAACAGTTTTATTTATGTTTGGACAAACATATTTTAAAGCATGCGTCTGAATCATTCATCATGGTCATTAGTTGTTACTAGTTGAAAAATACTGACAAAACATTATATCAATAAAGTTTGGATTTGTAGTTTTATTGGTGCCTGCCTGCCAACTGAAAGAGAATTAGAGAACTGACTTGTATTCTAGAACTAAATAAATTCTAGAATAAGTTCTAAATTCTAAAATCTGGTTGGTAACCATGGCATCGTCATGGCGATGTTTGTGATGTAATCATCAGTGACATCATCCTTATCTCTAGACAGAGAAGCTTAGGTTAGGAAGAAATATCCAGTGGGTTGAATTGAGTTGAGTTAAGTGGAGAAACGGAGAAACAGACACCAAGATGTACTCGCAGTCATACGGACACTGTGCCAACACACTGTCAGGCATGTCTTCATTCATGTCTATGAACTCATTTCCAGAATCTCATATAGACACCTATACAGATTCTACTTGGATTGACATATGCCCACAGTCGTTTCTAAGCGCAGACAGCAGCAGCACGTCTGACTTAAGAAATGGATTAAAGGGTAGAAAATGGATGGATGGATGGATAGTTGTCCCAATGATTGGAAATATTTCTGGAGCTGGGCAAGAGAAGGTGAACTGAGAAACTGACGAGGTGCAAGGAAGGTGTTGTAAACCATTGATATGAACCATCTCTACTGATCGCCATCAATGTCCTCAGGTGATGACGAGGCTGTGGCCAAGTGGACATCGGTGGGCCATTACATTCAGAATGTCCACGCTAAGGAAAAAACCTGTTCCCTTGCTGTCTTCACAGGCCTTTGGTGGTGGATGCAAGAGTGTGGCCAAAATCAAGTATGTAATTACAAGTTTTTATCCCTATATCTAATTTATATAAATATATTTACACTCGCCATATCAATGAATTATTCTTTGTAATTCTGTATGATTCCATGTAGGCACAGCAGTATGTGAGAGACTAATGACCAATTGTTTTTACACCACATTTTTTGAAAGCTGTAATTAAAATAAGACCGCAATACCTCACTTTGCATATTGGGACATTCTGCAGCCTTATTCCAAGGAAAGCTGGCCAGGTAAATAATACTAATATTCACTTGAGTTATTTTATAGATACATACTGTATACTCATGATTTTGTTGTTTAATTTCAGGGTGCAGGTTGTGTCTTCAATTATGATTAAAAAAGGCAAATCGTCATCTATCTAAAATTCAAGCATGGAGACTACACTGTGAGAGCCAAGACCAACCCTGCTTCATATATAATGTCTTTGTGTCTATTTTGAAGGATCAGACAAACAGGACAATGGACAGTCAATTACTTATTATTTTTTTTTTAATGTAAGTTCTACTTTATGCTTCCTTCGCAAGTGTTTTATCCATTTTAGATAAAGGATTTTTCTTCTGTTAAGTATTATTTATTAAATTACTTTTTTTCTTTATGATCATTTGCACCTCAAAGCTGTCACTGTAGTAACTGCATTCCCTGACTGCTGACACTGCAACAAGAAACACTATTATTGTTAGGGGTGCAGCACATCTTCCAAAAGTTGCCCGCTTGGATATTGAGTGCAGCATACAATTATGATTTCAAATACCAAGAAAGGTGTTATAATGGACCAATAACTAACTACTGCAATTATATTCAGGAAATTTTATCTGAAGAACATAATTTAAATAAAATGAAAAACTATACAATAAAACAATACGTTATTCAACTACACAAATTGCAGTGGTGGGAGGAATCCAGTGTATTCTCCGTCTTCTGGGAATTCGCATCTTATTCTGCTCACAGCACAGGAGGGGATGACTACACGGATATGCAGCCCTAAGTATCCCCAGCACCACCGGACAAAATTCCTGTAGGCAAGATATCTATAACAGCTGAAAGAAAGATGGAAAGCGGATTTTGTTTTTGAATAATGAGCTCACACATTATCATACTAAACTAACGTGTTGATTATGGTCTCAGGCATGTCTCCAAACAGCTGCATGTAAGTAGCATGTACTGCTTGGAGCACATACGGATTTAAAGCCACTGGCTCAAATCCAGGGTGCTGGATTATGCAGGTGGCATGACCCACCTGCTGACATCTGTGCATTACCTATGACAGACGAAAATTGAATTAATAAGTCAGAGCCAAGACTGTAGTGCAGCCAAGATGTTTGAGCGTGTGTTAAATTACTGTCTCTTATGTGCACATTGGGGTATAATTTCTATTCAAAATACCTTTGGGGTTTCCATGCAGCACACGTTTTCCCTTGGGGAAAGGGAGGTGCAGTGGCCGCAGGTGCACCTATTATGGCAGAGTTTATAATATAACTATATTACCCCAAAACATATAGTTTATCTTGGTCTGGGTTCATAAATTAAATGTACAGACAAAAATGTCTAGCAAAGCAACGCAACATAAGGGGTTACTGTATGGGAATGTGTTAGGCTACATAACTCTTGTCAAAAGGTTCAGTTCAGACAGATTAGCATTTCGGGGTCCGGATCCCTACATGATTGCTCTTCAAGACATGTGACAAGCATTTCATACTTTTTATTCCACTCAAATCTGTATATACCATTCAGAAACAGGCCCCATTCTGTGGCGGTCTGTTGCCTCCGCTGCCTCCGCAGCATCGGCTCCTCCGGTGGCGCCAGCTAGCTCGCGAGCTAGCGGTTCAAATTGATAGGGCTGAGGACCGCTGTCTGCCTCCTCTCTTTCAAACTCCTCTCTCTCAACCTCCGGTGAGGACGGTGGAGAGAAGTCCTCCACCTACCAAGACCGTACAGAAGCTGTGGAGCTGGCGTCGCTGTGTTCACTCTCCATCATTGACACGGCCAATGCTGATGTCAAGGTCAATCACAGCTTAGACCCGCCCAACATTCACCCCCCCGCCTGTCCCCTTTGGTCCTCCAGGCTACGCCCATTTGGAGGGAGATTTGAACAGGAAATGTGAGTGACGTAAGCCTCGAGGAGCGGGGGTGAGAACCTCTTTAACTTGTAAGGTATTGTACAGGTACGACAGCCACAAAACTAGTACATCAAATCTGATTCACCATCGCTGTGACGTTAAGACAACTGCGCACGTACAGCAGCCTCGGATTACAACCTTTATATAGAACAAAGTGCCCCTCTCAGCAAAATCCAAACTTGTAGATAATTTTGTGGATTTCTGTTGCGCTGACTTGCGACATTGTCTCAGGCAAAGGCTTCACCAGTGTGGCACAAGGACTCATCAATATTGGAGCCAAACATGGTTCTGTGGATGCAGACTCCGTGATTCCTCACAGACAGACAGTTTGTGATAGGGCAAAGAATCAAATCAAAAAACACTGAAGAGCACATACTTTGGTCAAGAGGAACTGTTCCATAACTGGGATTTAGAGACAAGAAACACATTGTGTCCCATTCAGAACTAGTTACAAAGGAAGGTTTTAAATTACATACCTAAAACACCTTAGTAAAGAAATGTCAGTCTGTCAGAACAGATGGAATACAAGGGGTTGTCTAAACAAGAGAATAACAAACATGTATAAAAGAATGACAATTAATTTACAACATGTCAAATAGTGTATTTAACACTAAAACTATAATTACATAAAGCATTAAGCACGTTAAATACAGATGCAGGCATGCAAGCAAAATTAATTGTGCCTTAGTAATACATTTGCCTTGCCACATTTCATAACAGTTTTATTTATGTTTGGACAAACATATTTTAAAGCATGCGTCTGAATCATTCATCATGGTCATTAGTTGTTACTAGTTGAAAAATACTGACAAAACATTATATCAATAAAGTTTGGATTTGTAGTTTTATTGGTGCCTGCCTGCCAACTGAAAGAGAATTAGAGAACTGACTTGTATTCTAGAACTAAATAAATTCTAGAATAAGTTCTAAATTCTAAAATCTGGTTGGTAACCATGGCATCGTCATGGCGATGTTTGTGATGTAATCATCAGTGACATCATCCTTATCTCTAGACAGAGAAGCTTAGGTTAGGAAGAAATATCCAGTGGGTTGAATTGAGTTGAGTTAAGTGGAGAAACGGAGAAACAGACACCAAGATGTACTCGCAGTCATACGGACACTGTGCCAACACACTGTCAGGCATGTCTTCATTCATGTCTATGAACTCATTTCCAGAATCTCATATAGACACCTATACAGATTCTACTTGGATTGACATATGCCCACAGTCGTTTCTAAGCGCAGACAGCAGCAGCACGTCTGACTTAAAGACAGAGCTCAATAGTCTCAGAGACAAGTGCAGTCGTTTAGAGGGACTAAATAACTCCCTCAAACATAAAGTCTTTGTGCTTGAAGACGATTTGCAAAGATCTATCAGGAGTGGATCCCAGGGACAGTGCATGTTCAATAGGAACACCAAATTACACACCAAACTGGTCGACGTCTCCAACGAGAAATCAGTGCAGCAGAAAAATGCGGCAATACTGACAGTAGAGCTGCGGCGCGCTCAAAAGCAAATCTCTGCCAAAAATGAGGAGATCGAATCACTGAAGAAACAGCTGATTGCCGCGAGGAACGTAAATTCACAACGTAAACACAAGTCCAAGCTCAAGGACTTTGAGGAGAAATTAAAATGTGTTGAAGAGGAGAGAGATTCCTTCAGAGAAAAGTGGCAAAAGAGTAAAGCTGAAACTAGTCAAATTAAAGAGAAAATCTCAGTAAATATGGTCAGCTTGAAACGCCAAGAAAAACAGTTAAAAGATTCTGAAAAGGAACTTCGGCAAATCAAAGAAACCCGGGATATTTGGATACGAAATTACGAGTTCAGTAAAACAGAGAATGACACTCTGAAAAGTCAAATCCGCGCAGTGAATAAGGATTTAGAAAAGCAGAAGGAAGAGAACATGATCCAAAAGAATCATCATTCCTTGGAGAACAGAATGCGCTCCCGAATTGAGATTGTAGAAATCAAAGCTCCAAAATCAACCACAGTATCGACGTTGAACAACACCAAGGTCCGCGCTCTCGAGAAGCAAATTCATAACCAAGCGAAACAGATCGAGAACCTGCGTCAAGAGTGCCAAGATCTTAGAGATAAAGCGGCACAGGTGCTGGAGAAGTACGAAGAGACACGAAGGACTTTGAGGAAAGCTCTGGAGGAGGTCAAAATCCGTACGGCCGATCGCGACACATGCCAGCGGCAAGTGGAGAAACTGCAGGCGGAGCTGACTGAGCAGAGGGCCCGGCAGAGGAAGACGACTCAAGGGGAGAAAATCTGCAATTATCAAACTAAAGTCATCAAAAAGAAGACGCAGGCGGCGAGTAAAGAGCTGCCAAGTCGAGGGCGAAACAAAACCGTTGAGTTAGGCATCAGTGGCAGAGGTTTGTAAGGATCTGCGCTGCTGTGCGATATCTTTCGTTGAGATGCCGGACATCTCGTTTTTTTACAAGCTGTTATCAGTTATCAGCCCTTTCATGTTCTTGAATTTGTATTGACACTGTTTTTGGTGATGGATTTCACTGTCACAATTGTTTCATGTACTTTTTTTCTGATTTGATTCATGTTATTATTTTTCTTGTCTTATTCGTGTACTTTTAGCTGGTTTTATTCTTGTACTGTTTAGCTTGCTTTATTCCTGTACTTTGTCTTTGGACCGTGTTTTACTACGCTCTGAGCTTGTTTAATTTTCATACATTTAGCTGGTTTTATTTTTATAATTATTTGTCTTGCTCTGTTTGTGTACTTTTAGCTGGTTTTATTCCTGTAATATTTTGCTTGTTTTATACCTTTTGACCTTGTTATTATCACGTACTCATTGAGCTTGATTTATTACTGTAATATTTCTTTCTTATTTTATTCCTGTAATGTTTAGCTTTTTTATGTGAGGGTTAGGGTTAGGGATAGAATTAGGGTTTTGCTGTGTTTCATACCTGTACTTGTTTTTGTAATTTACTTTTTGAGCTTGTTTTATTTATGTTCTGGTGCACACTGGGGACTGTTGCACATGTATCCCAATGTGGTTAAACTGAAAATGATAATTTCCCATTTGAATCGGAATCTATGGGTTTGGGTTTGAGACTCAGACACATAGTTTTGACTGTGGCTAAGTCACAGCGGTGGGTATGCTCTGATGTCCTCTGCTGTGACAGTAGTCACATTCCATTATGAATCAAATCAAATGATAATTTGGTTCATTTGATTCATAATAAACAAATAAGAAATTAATTAAAGACGACACCAACATACTTCAATGTTGACGCAGCCCTGAGTCCTGCATCGCATGGCTTTGGCACTTGTTCTACAGCCCTTCCGTCCGTGGGAGCGGATCCCTCTTTCAATGTGGACCTCCCTGACGTTTGTCACCCTTTCCTTGCCGATGCAGGAGGGTCTGTTGGATCATTGTCTGGGTCTAACTAAAAGGACAGTGGTGATGATCCAGGACACTCAACATTCAACCACATGTGTGGATGTGCTGACAAATTCAACGGTTTGTTCTCCAAGAAAACTACTGTTGTGATGTAGGACTATATTGAATTGAATTGAATTGAATAAATAACGTAAATTACATTTTTGATGGAATAATGACTTTTCTTGTTGGGGAAAAAAATACTTTGTTAGGCGCAGAAATAAAAGCTAGAATCTCTAACCACATACAGTTTTGCATTCGTTCTACTTCCTTTAACAAATATGTAAATGAGGCACGGTTACTTTGTGCTCATGTTTTACACCAAGGTACTAGTGATGCGCAGGTCGGCCCAAAACCTGTGGTCAACCCGCGGTCCCCACGGGTACGGGCAGGTTTGATGCCTCAAATATATGAGTAATGTCGGGTGCGGGTTGGCCGGGTCAAAATGCATATATAATATAATGTGACAGTGTTGTAAAATAAGTCACAAGAAGAGAGGTTTCTTTGCTTGTCTCATGCCACATACACCGCAAGACCACAAGAGGACAGAGTTATTATAGCTTACATTAGAACCACACAGCACACTGAAATCAAAGAAGGACCCTATCAATTGTAGCCTGGCCTTAGCCATCCGTACACTCCACTCAATCATCATTTCACTGCATGTAACGTCTGGGTCTGGTCCCCATGTTAGCGATTACAATCGGTTGAATTTCGACCGACAAATCAGCGAGCACGGAAGGAGAGTGTTCTAGTCAGTTGTGGGTGATATCAAGAGTTTGCGTCGAACGGGAAGGTCGTAGTTTGGCAATGGCGAAAAATACGACAGTAAAGTAATCCGGTCTGGTTCTATCAAGAAATTGAAGCCGGAGCAATAAGAATGTTTACCAAATGTAATCTCTAGAAGAAATTGTGGCGCTACTCCCACGGGCTCCGTTAGCGGCAAAGGAGATAGCTAGGCTAAATGCTAAATGCTAACAACAGACTCGGGTGCACTACATACGTCACGGTAAACTCAGATCCAATCGTTTCAATCTACAAAAGGAGTTAACCCCTCCTATCTGTAAACGGAGCTCAATGGAGCACCTCCAGACCTTAGTACGAAATGAATTTTTTGGTACGACCAGGCTATATCAATTGACATGGTTAGCTCAGTCATGGTGCAAGCACTTAACAGTCCACATAACCCTACACTTGAGAGAAGAGAAGAACACTACTGTGGCACGCTACATTATTAAAAAAAAAAATAATATATATATATATATATATATTTATATTAAAGTAATAATAAAATATATATATTATTATGGGAGGCTAGCTAGCTAGCTATAGTTTTGAAATTGCGCATACGTGTTGTTATTTGGCCTAAGGGCATCCGTACAGGCCTATTTTAGAGCGGCAATTTAACCGAGTTGACTTAACTTGCATCATGGCGGATTTGATAAGAGAGAAATGCAGCCTCGCGGAAATTCAATTCTGGAAGACGTCAACCAAAGCCACCCCTTCCAGGCCGGCCTCGCATCCCCAGCCTATCGCACAGCAAACGCCCATTTCCAACCAACCTATGCCGGCCAGGCCAGCCGCTTAAAAGCGGAGAAACTCCCACTTTACGGCCTTCTCGAAGCCTTGCAAAGAGTCGTTCTGGAGGAATCGCTTTCGTCTACTCACGCTTACTCGTGCGTGTCCCTGCTGTCCTCTGTCTTGCTGCGTGTGGTCTGCTCCTCCTCCGCGTCGCTGCACCTGCTGCGGGTCTCGTGCTCTGGTCCGTGGGTCTTTGCCGCTCTCCTCCTTTGCGGGCTCTTTCTGCGGGTTCGCCGCTGCTCGTCTCGTCGCGGCCTGCTGCTGCATACGGCCGGTCTGGACCGGTGCGGCGGGAGCTGTGCGCATCCCTGCCTCCTCGTGCCGGTACGGTGTGGTCCCGTTGTTTTCCTTGTCTTCTGGCGTTGTGGGTAAGTATGCTGACCTGCGGACGGTTTATTCCCCTCGCATTGTACCGCAGGCTCGGTTTTGGCCCCGCGCTTTGTACTGCAGGCTCAGTTGGCCCCGTGCATTGGTGTGCAAGCTCTCAGTTTAAAGCCCTCGCATTGGTCTACAAGCTCTGTTTAAATCCCTCTCTCTTGGACTGCGGCTCTCTCTTTGAATCCCTCTCTTGGACTACAAGCTCTGTTTAAATCCCTCCTTGGACTGCGGCTCTAAGTTTAAATCCCTCACTCGGACTACAAGCTCCGTTTTAATCCCTCACATTGGACTGCAAGCTCTCAGTTTTAATCCCTCACTTGGACTGCAATCTCTCAGTTTAAATCCCTCACATTGGACTGCAGGCTCTCCTTAAATCCCTCTCTTGGACTACAAGCTCTGTTAAATCCCTCTGTTTGGACTGCGGCTCTCTCTTTGAATCCCTCTCTGGGACTACAAGCTCTGTTTAAATCCCTCTCTTTGGCCTGCGGCTCTCAATTTGAATCCCTCACATTGGACTGCAAGCTCTCAGTTTTAATCCCTCACTTAGGACTGCAGGCTCTGTTTGAATCCCTCACACTGGACTGCAAGCTCTCAGTTTTAATCCCTATCTTGGACTACAAGCTCAGCATTTATCCCTCACTTCGGACTGCAAGCTCTGTTTAAATCCCTCACACTGGACTGCAAGCTCTCGGTTTTAATCCCTCACTTGGACTACAAGCTCTCAGTTTTAAATCCCTCACTTAGGACTGCAGGCTCTGTTTGAATCCCTCACACTGGACTGCAAGCTCTCAGTTTTAATCCCTCTCTTTGGACTACAAGCTCTCAGTATTAATCCCTCACTTTGGACTGCAAGTTCTGTTTAAATCCCTCACGTTGGACTGCAAGTCGTTTAACTCCTTCACACTGGACTGCAAGCTCTCAGTTTTAATCCCTCTCTTTGGACTACAAGCTCTCAGTATTAATCCCTCACTTTGGACTGCAAGTTCTGTTTAAATCCCTCACGTTGGACTGCAAGCTCTGTTTAGGTCCCTCGGCGTCTCTCGTGTCCCGCAACCTCTTCCTGGCTCCGACGCGGGAGGTGTCCGTGGGCTACGTCATTGGCCCCTTCTCTCCGTCTCTCTCTAACCCGATGGGCATCGCCACCCGCAAGCACTCCAGGAAGAAGCGTCTCATATTCGTCCTCTCCTGTCCCCGCTCCGGGCCCGCCCCGAGCCCGCCCCGAGCATCAACAGCCCCTTCCCTCCAGCGCCCTTCTCCCTGCAGTCCGCTACCGTGGACCACGCGATCAGGCTGATAAAGACTTTCGGCCCCGGCTCCTGGCTCTCCAAGGCCGACATCCCGGGCGCGTTCGAGCTGCTGCCCGTCCACCCCGACCACTGGCGCTGTTCAGGGGTCAAGTGGCGTCAGAGTTCTTCTTCGCCGTGCGCCTCACCTTTGGCTGCCGGAGTAGTCCCTCTCTGTTCAACAATCTCTCGGAGGCGCCGTGTCGGATTCTGCTTAATAACGCGCGGCTCCCCTCTGTCCTGCATCTCCCCGATGATTTCCTCGTAGTCGACCCACCCTCAGACTGCTCCGGGGGCTCTCTCCGCAAGCTCAAGCTCGCCTTCTCTGCCCTCGGATTCCTTCACTCCGAGGAGAAGACCACCGGCCCCGCCACCGCTTTGGAGTTCTCGGCATCCGCCTCATCACGCGCGCCGTGGAGGCCTCCCTCCCGCTGGACAAGCTTGGGCGCATCCGCGCTTCTCCCGGTCTGCCTTGTCCTCTCCGTCACTTTCGAAGCGTCAGCTGCTCTCCCTCCTTGGGCTCCATCCATCCATATCATCCCTCAGGGTCGTTCTTTTATTTCCAGACTCCTCTCCCTCGCTGGCTCCGTCCCCTCCCTCAATGATGCTGTCTGCCTGAACGCTGGGTGCCGCTCCGACCTGGCGTTCTGGTCCCGTCGCTGAGCCGCTGGAACGGTGTATCTTTTCTACAGCGACGTCATCCTGTCCTCAGATGCCCTGCGTTTCTTCACGGACGCAGCC